CGGCGATATCACTTTCGAAACACTTCCTCCGAAGCTCGGACTTCGTCTCGGGAGCTCTGCTCTCCTTCTCCTCTATTTTGTCCCTAGTTAGCGTCATATCTCTAATCAATTCTGGGACATTCCGTTGGAATACAGTGGTCTCTACATAGTTTCATGAGCAGTGAACAAAAGCACGGCGTTTATAATTTAAATTTAACGTCGAGTTGTAATTACAACTCATCCGGTATGCCTCGCGAAACTTTGCGAACGATGATTCGCTTAATCAGGTTACTATGGCATCTACTTGTTTTAATTGACCGTGGTACGTGATACGCGATTAAGGAGCTCGCGGTAACAACGTGTGTGCGTCCGAGCGAGGCTTCATTGATTGGTCGGAGTTAGTAACCCCAAAGTGAAGTTTCGAGGGTACTCGAAAGAGTTTGATACGCGATGCGCGCTTTTGAAAGCACTCGACGAAGTTTCTCCTTCGTGATATTAAAAGGAATCATCTTACCTTCCCTCGAGCACACGTCGTGGAGAACGATATTTTAATTTCAACAAAATTGGCTCATCAAATTGTCGAAAAGACGATCGCGAACGAGTCCTCCCTTTGTAAAGGTCCGCCGTAAATCAGCCGGAGAGGAATTACCCGATTCGAAGTTATCGAATCGCCGAGAAACAAAGAGCAGGTATACAATCGAGAAAGGGTTCAACATCGCGTAATGACCGCATTATCGAAATGGAGCATCGTGCATCGAATAAGGATTTAATTGCTCCCTCTCTTCGGTCGTGTTCGCCTCCTTCGTTCCTTGTTTCTTCTTCTTCTTCTTCTTCTCGTGCCGCTTTATCACTTATGGACTAGCGTGCGGGCTAGAGTTGGTCGCTGCACTCCTGCAGAGAGTGGACTTTCAGGCGCCTCACGCTATACCGTGTGGCCGATAGACTCCGCGGCGCCCCTTTTTCCAACCCCCTCCCTCTCTCAAGTGCCTCGCCCTGTCCGTGTCTTCGTCGATTTTTTTTTTTTTTTTACCCTTCTTTTCCCTCTCTCTCTGTCTTTACTCTTCTCTCTTCCTTTTTGTGTACGAGCGAGACAACACGTGCACGCATACGTAATCGACCAGCACGCGCGAGCACGCTCTATCATTTTGTCATTCGATTTTTCTTGCGCGACGAAGCTCGGCGGAACGAACCCCTTCGCCTTCGAGGGCGATCACAGGAGGACCTTTTCGGTTCGCGTCACGAGAAGCGCGGTCACGCACCTACGGTGGATCGATAAGCGCATTGTACGTAGACGCGAGGTAAAAAGAAAATTATAATTCCGTAATGACACCTTTTACCAGCCATTTTATGAAATTTTATATCTCAAATATTTTTTTGGAAATATATATATATATATTTTTTTTTTCTTCGAAGTATTAAAGACGATGTGCGCGAGAAATAGCGCACTTACAACGGGAAAGCATTTCGCGCTTTAGAAGGCAATTTCGCGACTGTGTACAGACAATATTTCCGACTTACGTCGTTCGCCAGGGGATATTTTTGCGCAATCTTGTTTCTCGGGCTATTCTCGGCGCGCGGCCTCGTAACGGGAAAGAGGAATAAGGGATAAGAGTCGACCGCGAATCGGAAGTGCGCCCTTTCGCCGCGGAATCATTGCGGTAAATTATTAACGTCGCGTGTGTGCCGGTATCTACTGGGTGGTATCGATTCCGCCGTCCTGCTTTTTCATCGCGTGCGTGTGCACACGCGGCATCTAGATACCGCCACGTCGCTTTAATTTCCATTTGCATCCCGCCGACATTGTTATTAACCTCGGGACGTACCCTCAATCTTCCTTTGCAGTGCATTAGGATTCTCTCTCTTTCTCTCGGGTAAGAAAATAATTGCCGTTGAATTCTTCCGCAGTTTTCTATTTTTTTTTCTTTTTTTTACGATCCTGCGAACTGATTGATCGAACTGACATTCACTGTTATTTGACCGTTAATAATTGACGCACGTTCGTTGCTTTTGTTTACGAGAATGACAAATTGTGCTGGAAAGTTTCCATGACAATTCATATATCTATATACTTATTTAGCAATGAGCGCAAAATAAAATTATTGCGTACAGCTCGATCAATTATCCACGTATAAAAATGAGTGAAATAATTATTTGAAATGGAAAATAAAAATATTTATATTTTTATTCGTGCTTTGTCACACAAATAATGAATAATCTCACCGAAAAAGAATCTTTTAATCAGAGACTAGGATGACTAGTCGAATCTGTGATTGCCAATTAGTAGGCAACAATTCTGGCAGAGAACTGACCATCATCACCCCTATTGTGCATCTAATAAAGCAATACAGTTTTTCGCACCCGACGTGTTCACGGTTGAATAATTATTTTCGCTAGTCTGCATTCGAGATGAGCTCACCGTTGTTTAGGCATATGACCCGTCAAATATTTGACTCACGTATACTTTACTGTTATACATGGCGATCGTTGGACGATGAAAAAAACGATTAAAATCAATTCAGCTCTTTCGTCGTATATGATTGCTTGCATTATAATCGACTTCGGTCTCGAATTCGACGGGTACGACCTAGTTCGGTTCGCGTTTCGTTTGCATATTCGGTTTGCATATCTTACAAGTACAAAGAGTGCGCTTTACCGCCACGTCGCGGTTATAAAACTGCGGTTAACGTTACGCCACGTCGCATAGAAATGTGCAGAACCGTAAGAAAAAGGATTATCCGAGGACTTTTGGAAATTGCTAAATAATCGGACTGTACGCAACGAGGATTTGTACATTTACTTGAGAAGAATTATACAAATAATAAATAATTTATATACGAAATGCGTCGTACAAAATTAATTTTATAAAATTACAATTTAGAAAAGAACAAATAAAAATTTTGAATTATATTTAAAAAATGTCTAGTTATATTGTGAGCAAATAAAAATTAAAAAAACATAAATAATAAAATTAATTAATTTTTTATTATAAAAATATATGAAACCGAAGAGAGAAATAGTAAATAAAAAATAATTCATTAAAAAATATATAATACATAAAATTGATTATTTTTTATTTTTATAAAATACGTATTAAGAAAGAGAGAAAAGAGAGAAGAGAAATAATTTTAATCTACACACCGTTATGATATAATGTAATTAGTGACACTGATAAGCACACGCACAATACGCTACCTTGTTAGACATACATATATCACGCAAGTTTCTCTCTGCATTTCCCCGTGACTGCCTATAACCTTATATTCCGATGTTCTCATTGCCAGGTATAGTTTTGTATGCCGCGCATGTAGCCGCGATTTCTATGCTAAACGTGTCGTGCTATCGCCGACAAATGATGGTCGGGAGCCAGCGACGTTTTTCGTTTCGTTTTCTTCCCGGGATGATGGCTTCGCAATCTCATACGACCACGATGTTTCGAAGCGAATAATTCGTCCGGTTCGGACGTACAAACACGTCGAAGACACACGAGCCGTCCGTATGTGAATTTTGATTAACAAAGCTTACGGTTACCGGTATAATACGGTGGATACATATCGCATGTGTGATTACTGGAGAACATCGAACGCTATTGTGCGGTTAGCTTCACTGTTCTTTGATCAAACAGATTGATGATTATGTAATTAATTATTCGCAATTCAATCGTATTACAGTAAACATTCCGGACTGGTGAGCAGGTGAACAGCGATTATCGCGTCAATTTAAATGCATAATCTCCATCGATATTCTAGCGAGATTTGATTTGTCAATAAATTTATCAATAATGCGGCATATAATACGATCTCAAGGGAGCGAGAGAGTCGACGAATAATCCGCGTTTGCGTTTTCGATTATATATTATTTTATTTTGATTTAATAAGAAAAATATTTCTTTGCCGTGCATATTTATAAAGCGTGAAAAGCTTCATAAATTCGCTTACATATTATTATCGCTTTATACAATTCTATATATATGATATTCAAACATTTTTTTATTCCCAATAAATTCCGTTTACATTTCGAATCCATGAAAAGAATCTAATCTCCCGTTAACCTAACGAAAATCGATGTATTAACAATTTAACCTCTCGTGTGTCTCGGAGAGGAAATTAAGAGGTTAATGCCAGTCTGCGTTTACGCCCGCGGCCACACTTGGTGGAGCTGCGCTAAATCTCTAATTAAGCAATGAATCTTCGGCGGCATGCGCGCCCTGTGAAGAAGAAGGGTACCGACACCCGTAAGAAAGAATTATCGGCGGCTTGGCGCGGAGAAAATTAATCGTCGCTTCTATTTTCGACCGGCAATGCCGGCGCCGTGAGAGAGTAGAAATAATTAAATTCCAATCCCCGTCGGGTTTATCATTCCGTAGATATTTCCGAAGTGCTTGATCGGCAATTAAATGCGATTCCCGCCGTTAACTTGATCAAAACAGCTGTGTGTTTTCCTTTCACTTGTATTCGAACTTGTATTAAAAAATCAGTTTATTGAAGCTCGGAGATTTTTAAGAAAATATTGATATTATTTTTTAATTTCATTTCTCATTCGTAAAAAAAGCATCGCGATCTGTTTTCGCGGAACGCTCTGTACAGATAAATTCATTTGCATTAGCGAACGCGTTGTAGAACTGCGGATAGACCGCGATATCGCTCGCGGTATCATAATTCATTGTCCGTTAAATCGCCTTGTTCGCTTTAATGACGTCGACAGCATGGGAAAGCTATTTTACGAGGCGACGTCTTTTATTGCTCCTATCCAGCGTTTTCGTCAAGGGACCGTCAACGAGATCGGGAGCGTATGTTAATTTATCGCGGCTTTACGAGGCCATAATCCCGTCGAGCGTTCTCCGCGCTTTGTGCGCCACCGGAGACGACGTTTTGTTCGAAATTATGGTAAATTCCGCGACCCAATCAAACAACATCGACTTCGTTGTTTTCGTTCGCGAGACGAGTTTTCGCGAGACGCGATTTTTGACGTTTTCGAGAGAGATGTGTATTTTCTGACGGGGAAATTTTTTCCATCTGTTTCAGGAATAATGAAGAGAGAAGCCGAGGCTGGCGCTATGACAGGTTCTGGGGGTCCAACGAGCCCCCACAAGCGCTATCGACAGGGTGACGATGAGCTCCGTCTTCTCATCCCGAGTAAGGTGAGTGTCGTCGATCGATATGTTGTATATACGCCACGCGATATCGCGAAATTAATATTTTAAGCTCCGTATGCAATCAACGAGGTATCTCCGATATACGGAAAATAAAGAAGTTACGAAACTTTGAGAATATAAAGATAGCGGCTTGATAAATGAGATACACTATTTTTATTCGCCATTTGAAATTGAGGATAATAGGATGAAAGCAACTTCTGGAAACTGAGTCAAAACTTTCATTTTTATTTTATAAACGCGAGAGGAAAGAAAATAGTTAATTATTTATAAATTGCTTGCGCAATTATTTAAGCATTTGCAGTTTTACAAACGCTATATTAAAAAGAGATAAGTTTTCTCTGTGAAACTTTTTCTTGTTTCGCGTTTACGATACTTTAGTAAATATAAAAAATAGCTTCAGTCTTCGAAAGTCAATTTTATTCTCTCAGAGTGAATTTGCAGACATATCAAATATTTATTGTTAGTAAGAGATACTCTTGCTAATTTACATATCAAAGTTTAGTAATTTTTTTAGAAATGTCATACTTGTACCTACATATTTATTTTGAGCACAAAATAAGTCTAAAGGAATTTAAAAATAATTATATTACATCTATCCCTGGCTCTTCCCTCTTCATACCTGAATTTGCATATCAGATCCTTTTCAATTAATTATTTATCCAATACTTGAGCACGTCTCGACGAATAATATTAACGGTTGACATATCCTCGAAATAAAATACGGAAGCACTCGCGTCTCTGCACTTCTGCTTTCCGAATCGGAAGTCTAAAGTCGGCGGTCTCTTCTCGACGAACACGTAACGCGTATTCCAGCGTACAATGTGAATAAACGCGGATCGGACGTGCCTTTCGCACACACGTGTTCGCCACACTGGGTCACTGTATTTTCCAGTCACGCGTGTTCGACCCGGCTGTTTTCGCTGTGTTCGCTGTATCGTGGTAGCCCCTCGATCGTCTCCCATGTGTGCAACACGGGAGGACCACCTCCGACACGTCCGCTCCATCGATGGAACAGCCGGGACTCTTCCGGTCATTGTCGCCACGCTCGGCGAACCGTTATCGGTTTCTGCTTTCTTTCCATCGCGGGAGATCCCACGGCGAATCCGTAAAAAAAAAAAGAAGAAAAAAATCTCAAGCCTTCGCCTCTCGATAGACTAACGAGACAATCGTATACGCGCAATCTCTTAAGCCGAGTTACCCTTCTGCCGGTTGCCTCAGTCGTGTCCCATAAGCTTCCATCTTTATTATATCGCCGATACATCGGCAGACTTAACCGGATGTCCCTGTTTTTCTCTCTCTCTTTCTCGGTTGGGCGGATATTTTCTTGCGCCATCGTTTCCTCCGCGGATACAATAAGACGCAGGAGGCGAATATCGCGATTGCAGCCGTCTGCTTTCGAGGGCATCGGGAGAGAAGTAATATCATGAATCGAGGTCTATCTGCACCTCCTTTCGCTCGATAGTGATTGATTGTAGCATTGAGAATATCGAAGAGGGAACAGAACGAAGCACTCGTTTCTTGCGCTTTCTTTGTTCGACGTAGGAAGAGAGACGCTGCGTAAGATTTGATCGCGAAACATTTTCTCTCTTCGTATCTCTCTCCGTAATTTTCTCAAACACACATATATATATATATATATATATCTTCAACGCTTTTTGGAGGTTGATTTATAGCATTTCCCAGTTCACATGTAGTATTATACGATATAAGGTCATCCAATTATACAAATAACTACGGTTTGACGTTGTACTTAGTATAAACCGTTTGCGCGCATTAATAAGCTTAATTAAATTGAATGACCGATCGTGGGAGCGCAGATAAGCGCATACCGTCGACACGCGAGAGTTGAAAAATACGTCGCGTGAAATAGCGATATTCGAGCAAGTTGGAATAGCTAGTATTTGCTCGGGGCTTTAATTATCGCAAACATTTGCGTAACGTGTTGAGCAAAAGAAACAGGAAGCGTAAAGGAATTTGGAAGAGAAACTTGCGAAAATTTGACTCTCTCTCATCAAGCTTATTGATGATGATGATGATGATACGCGACTTTGCCGCGCCGCACGTGACATCATTAACGAATGGCCCTGAGCAAGATCGCGCCTTAATTTCGTAATGGACGACAACAACGTGTGTACTACGGATGCGTGTCGGTGCGATTTAATCGGCACCTTACCTTAACACGATCCAGGCGGTCGAGCACGAACGGCGTCGGTCGCGCTCGATCGCTCTCGTGCTCCAAGCTCGCGCTATACGTAATCGACGATATCATCGCGTGCCGTCATTAATGCACGGTGTGTCAGGGACGATCGATATAGCATTACCAATACCGTAGCCTTATTCGTAACGTTAACCCGCCAAGAAACTGCACTCGTGTGTATGCACCGGAGTGCTTTCCTTACAAGGAAAAGTTGTCGAAAATTCAAAGAAATTAATTTTTTTTAAATTGACTTTGCGAGTATACGTATAGAGTATCTTGAAAAATATCAAGTTACTCTTGTTTGTTCACTCTAAATATATTTTTTTTTATTTTTGTTTTATTAATTGCAAATCAACGGAAAAACACGAAAAATAAATTATATAGTTATAAATTGTTTAAATAAAATGTTTATAATTATTGGCTATGTGTCTAAAAACTTTCTAAAAAGTATCTACAAAATTTTTTGTATGTAAAAAGTAAAATATAAAAATAGATCAATTTTCCAGAAAGTCTACTCGGTTTTTAGGCAGCAAACAAGAATTATTTAGTATTTCCATAATATGTTGTAATATTTTTTAAATTTTCTAATTTACTGGAATTTTTTTTTAACTTTTTGCTCGTTATTCCTTCCGTCTGCGAATTTCTATTTTCTTGGGCGAGAAGACGAACACGTCGCATCGTCGGAATGAAGATGACTGCGTAGCCACATTCCCGCGTCAATACATATCACATCGTAATACACGTCGCTGCTTTCGCGCGCAACGAAGTGCGTCCTTGGCGCGACTTCTCGTGCAGGAGAAAGCGTTAATTGCCAGACAATATTAGAGCTTATTTAATTAACCGCTGGAACACGATTAAATCTGTCAGTAATATTAAAGACAGTAGATTGGTCGTACGAGATCGCGCGACATTATATAGATCTGTGGAAATTCAATTCTTCGCAATATGTGTCGCACGTGTTCCGTTCATTTTAAGCCGCAATCATCTTGCAGTTCCGCGAGAAACAGTCGTTGTTTTCGCGTCCGGTCACGTTGCCGGAAGTTTGAACTGCGGAAAAATCAAAAACCCGGACTAGAGAAGCGGGCGTAAAATTTTTATCGCGCGCATCAGACGCGGCTTTCTATAGAGAAAGCGAGAAGTTGGCGCACACAACCGTGGCTTTCTGACGGCAGAATGGAATTTCCATATTTTATCCTTGTTATTTCCCGAGGCGCTATTATCTCGCTTCCAAATTTTTCGCTAATTAAACATTTACCGTTGCTCTCGATGAAATATTCGCTCAAGTAATTACGTCAGAAAGCTAAGGATCATGCAAATGTATCGTATCAACGGTAATTTTAATGAAAATCAAGTTTAATCCTTAGATTGGCACGTCAGGTTTTGATATACGTCATTGTACTTTAAATAAATAAAAAACTTGTAGTGTTTAAATCAATACATAATTATTATTTCTTAAATTAAAAAAGAATTTTTATTAGTTAAAAATTTTTTAAAATAATTTCGAAATAGTGCAAAAGATATAGAATTCATACAACTTTGTTATTACCTTCATATTTTATCAAAAAATTATTTTTTATGTAATTTATTGAATCGTTATTTCGACATTTAGCATATTTATTTATATCATCGTTTATTTTTTATGAATATATTTACTTATATATTTGTACGATGATATTCTACAAAATTTGAATCGACTATATTGCGAGGAATTCCATGAAGAAAAGTACTATGAGACGACTGAGGTCATTAAAAAATTTAATGACGAATTAAAAAATTGTTAGTATTTCATATGTCAATCTAAAGATTGAATATTAAATGTTGTTAATTTTTCAATTTTTCTTTGAAAGTATCTTCAAAATATTTGTTTATTTGTTCCTATAAATATCTGATTTATTAATTAAGTTGTATTATTTTTTTTACAGGTTGCCGGTTCGATAATCGGCAAGGGTGGCCAGAACATCACCAAGCTCAGAAGTCAGGTAAGCTTTTGCGCTTCGATTCGTTCGTAGTTTCGCTATAGTTTCGTTCCTGTCTCTGTCTGTCTTCTCGTGGAAGTTCCTTTGCTACGAGCAAAAAACACAAGGAAGATGGCGGAAGACAAGAATCGTATAAATAATCGAGCGGAAGATCGTAAAAACTGTCTCGGCAATACATTTTAAAACGCATGAAAGCGACAGGTTTTTTCGATCTTTTGACTACGTTTTACGTTTAGTTCTAATTCTACGTCGGGTTTTCAGTTGATTGAGAGTCATTTTTTGTTCCGGTTTATCATTTTTTTCGACAATTACTCGTAATCGGCTGCTATATTGTCACATTAATTAAATTAAATCGCGGCTTGCATTTTACTTTTCTCGCGCACCGTCTACGGATCGATGACACGAGTGCCTGTAACGTAATTAACCCTTCTAGCTCCCTTGAGCCTTTTAACATCGTTTGAATCTAAAATAATTATGGTTTATACGATTATACCGGGCACACGGGTAGAGGGTTGATACGGAGATTCATATAATTTGTGTAAAGAGCGAAGCACGTTAGAGAAAGAAAGAGAGAATGCTGCGCGTAAATGACTTTATTGCGAGAATTTGTTTGCCCAGGCACTCGTCTTGTTCTCCAAAGACATTTTCCAGTACGAGCTTCATTATGCATTTGGTTCCCGAAACACGGGGGACAGCTTTTCTCGCGTCTCCCGTGCATCTCGCGGCGTATCAATATTTCATGAGACATTCGTTATTTCTCGGTTATAAGGAAGGTAGCTCTTCGTTTGCCTCGATATTTATTTTCGCGCCGTACCTTAAGAGCGAAAATTGCACGTTCACGATGATCGATGGCGAGAGAACTCGTCCCTTACTTCTGTACGGAGTCGTCGAATCCTCTCGTCTTCGTCTACGCGTGATCGATGCATCGTCCTGATTTCTGCGCGACTGTGTTTAATGTCGCGATTTAGATTACGAATCTGAATCTTCCGAATGTGTTCGTTGTTTTTAACGAGCGATTCCTCGCCTCCGTTCCGAACCAAATGAGTACATGAATGTGCAGTACATCATAATCGTAACATTCCGCGAGTTAGAGTCATCTTTATTAGCGGCTGTGTGTGACTCACAATCAATTCAACCGATCAGTCGACTCGAAGCCTTCGATCAATTATATATAGCAACTCTATGGATCGTTTGCAAAATCGGTGGATATTTTATGAGTGCGAAAATATTCGATATTCAGCGTCTGATTAAATTTTTCACAACAAAATCATATATCTATTTATGAAATATTTACATCTTTTTCGCGATGATTTTTTCAATAAAAATATCCACCGATTTTGCCACCGTATTGCGTACAGTATTACTTGAATTTATCGTACGTATAATTCGATGTTTCGCGATATCGATAAAATACACCTCCGCTGAAATAGCTGAAGGGGGGGGGGAGGGGAATTATATCTAAACCGTGTCCTCTTTGTAGTGTATGCGTTCGCAATCGCTAATAAAGTCCGCGATACACGATTATATCATTATATTACTCGCATTACATCATCTCCCAGAGTCACGGACCCTTAACGGAGGAGGGTCTCGAGTGCTTTAGCCCGCGAATAATCGAACTGCGATGCCGAAGTGCACTCGACGCGGGAAGACGGAGGGTTAATCGCGTTAACGTTATATCGTGCTTTAATAATCGTGCGATTGTGACGTCGTCGCAAGATCACGATTCGAAGACACGAAGACGAAGCAGCACGTCCAGTCAAACCGTCGACCGTAACATTCTTCGACTTTTTTGCGATTATCCGCGTGTTAATATTCGTCGACACGAGAGTTCTTCTGCCAGATGACAGGACAGTCTGCGTCTTCTGTGTAAAACGAGTACAGTTGCGAGATATCGCTAAAACACGATTCCACGCGGCTACGTGCTCCGAGAGACGGATGCAGCACTTTGGGAATTATAATAGAAGAGTCATTTTTTTTTGACACGACAGATATTGAATATATTAATGTCCGGTAATAATTATCTCATTCACGTGGAGATTAATTAAAATTAATTTCTCATTAATTATTGCAAAGATCGTAAAACTGTAGAGGATTTTCCTCTATCTGTACGCGATGGTATGAGACGATTATTACCGGACATCCTGTATATAAGGGTTAATTATTCGCGTTAATTCGTGATTTTTGTTCTTAATTAATTATTGCGATTTGTTCGGCGGAACGATTACGGTCGTATATAATTATCGGTGTATAATAATGGACATTTAATTAGTTTGAGAGAATATATCTTAAAATATATTTTATCCGGTTTAAATGCGGATTCGTTATTCCCGAAGAGTGCTGTATCCGAGAGAACCATTGGAGAGGATCTCTTGACGATTCATTTCCAGTTTGCGTTGCCATTCTGGCGGAACCTTCTCCGGAACCCTCTTTACGCGAAATCTCTCGTCGCTTTATGGAGTTTCATGATTCGAGCGCGGAGCTTCGCAAACTTCCGCGAGCCGACAATACGCTTGACATTAGAGGGCTGCTTCGGTTGTGTGTAGAAAAATATTGGGAAGTCGTAGGACGCGAACAACTACTTCGCAATTGATAGATAAATTTCAATAGTACAGCACGCGATACGAATGTATTTCTCTTCGCGCGGAGAATGATTGGATGAGATAGATAAAAGAGTTTTTATCCGTATACCATTTTTCGTCCGAGAGTTACTTTCTCGCGAGAGTTTCGAATCTACGTCGATGATAAAACTTTTCCGTGCGGTTATCAGTTACATGCATATACCAAGAGGGGGATGCTTAATAGACCTGTTAACTTAAAAATGAAAAATTCGCTTCATCAACGGCACTTCGTTAGCAATTGAAATATTCTATGGACCGTTACGTGGAGCAGACGTCAATTAAGTGTCGCGTCAGGAGAGGAAAATTATTCGAGTGCGCCTTCGGAATTCTTAATGACTTCGGGGAAGGGACGATACCGGTCGCGGTCTTTGCCAAGATGATACAGGTACGTCTGTCGGGCTATAAGCACTTTCTCGAAGAGAAAAGCTCACTGTTACTTTGCGAGCTGTCGACAATCGTATTACGAATCTTGTTGAAAGAATCAACCAACGTTCGCGAGACTCGAAACTTTAATCGAATAATCGTAAGCTCATTGCGCGGAATTCTTAAACGCGATTTTGCACGGAAAGATAGAAGAGAAAGAACATTTCTTTTGAAATATATATATATATATTAAGATGTAATTTAATTCGACCAAAAACTGGCTATTCATTTATTGAAAATAAGTACACACTACGTTTCGACCCACATTGTGGTCCTTTTCAAGTGTGTGTTGTTCTTATTCAGCAATTACATTAATTAAAAATAGAAACACGAAAGTTGTCCTGTCATATCGACAATCTGTTAGCTACTGATAATTTATTGAAAATAAGTACACACTACGTTTCGACCCACATTGTGGGTCGAACTTTTCAAGTGTTGTTTTTATTCAGCAATTACATTAATTAAAAATAGAAACATGAAAGTTGTTTTGTCATATTGACAATCTGTTAGTTACTGATAATTTATTGAAAATAAGTACACACTACGTTTCGACCCACATTGTGGGTCGAACTTTTCAAGTGTTGTTTTTATTCAGCAATTACATTAATTAAAAATAGAAACATGAAAGTTGTCCTGTCATATCGATAATCTGTTAGCTACTGATAATTTATTGAAAATAAGTACACACTACGTTTCGACCCACATTGTGGGTCCTTTTCAAGTATTGTTCTTATTCAGCAATTACATTAATTAAAAATAGAAACATGAAAGTTGTTCTGTCATATCGACAATCTGTTAGCTACTGATAATTTATTGAAAATAAGTACACACTACGTTTCGACCCACATTGTGGGTCGAACTTTTCAAGTGTTGTTTTTATTCAGCAATTACATTAATTAAAAATAGAAACATGAAAGTTGTCCTGTCATATCGATAATCTGTTAGCTACTGATAATTTATTGAAAATAAGTACACACTACGTTTCGACCCACATTGTGGGTCCTTTTCAAGTATTGTTCTTATTTAGCAATTACATTAATTAAAAATAGAAACATGAAAGTTGTCCTGTCATATCGATAATCTGTTAGCTACTGATAATTTATTGAAAATAAGTACACACTACGTTTCGACCCACATTGTGGGTCCTTTTCAAGTATTGTTCTTATTCAGCAATTACATTAATTAAAAATAGAAACATGAAAGTTGTTCTGTCATATTGAAACGTAGTGTGTACTTATTTTCAATAAATGAATGACAACTTTCATGTTTCTATTTTTAATTAATGTAATTGCTGAATAAGAACAACACTTAAAAAGGACCCACAATGTGGGTCGAAACGTAGCGTGTACTTATTTTCAATAAATGAATAGCCAGTTTTTGGTCGAATTAAATTGCATCTTATTATACATATATATATATATATTCGCGATTTTTGTTACTCGATTTGCCAATATTTTTCTCGCCCTCTCGCAACCGATCCAACAAGTACGACGACCTAACCACGAAGGAGAAAGGGGTAGTAAAGGAGACAGGAGAGGGTGGGCAAAGACGGGGGTGAGTCAGTAGAGCGGAGAGAACGCGGAGGAAGGAGGGGGGAAGAAGGGGTTTAGGAGGTTAAGCCGCGAATTAATCCAGTCGTCAGACGTGATGTCTAACTTGGTTGATGGTTTGTGCCCTGGTCCCGCCCCAACCCCGGCGTTGCCCCCCTGGCGTTGCCCTGCCGTTGCCCTGCCGTTGCCCTGTGCCCGGAACGACGGACCCCGACTCGATCGGCAAATGGACCACCACGACCCTACCAACAATCGACAACAACCACCAACCAACCACCAATGAACCAACCACCAACCACCACGGCCCAATCGACAGTACAAAGCCTCAATCATTGTACCCGATTGCCCCGGACCCGAACGGTAATGACCAACACCAACTACTTAATGTTCTTATTTTTCTTTGTCTCTAATTACGAGGTACCTATTAAGAACGCCTACGGAATCTGGCGAGCAAACAAATCTCTCTCTCTTTTTTCCATATTCTCTCTCTCTCTATATATATATATACATCATTAATTTTCCACCTTCCGTAATTTATTGTACTTTCTCTCTCTCTCTCTCTCTCTATACTCTCTGTGCTCTTTTCTTTTCCTCTTCTTCTCTATCTAATTATCTGTTTATCTGTTTATAGAAATCTATATCCTTCCATCTGTCAATCTGTCTGTCCATTTCTGTTAATTTGTCTGTTTTTTTTCTGTCTCGTGTGTGATACCGTCTTTTTTTTCTATCGGCATATTAAGTACGTGTTAACGCGGCGACCGTCCGCTTTTAATACGCTGTTCATCGCGCTTTCTCTTCATTCTGTGTTTTTCTCGATAGAATTTTCTTTTTTGTCCTCGAGCGATTTAAAATCGCGTAAAACACGTCGCGAGAGGAGAAAAATGTTCCGAAATATTCTATCGTATTTTTTTTTCTCACGCGCACATTAATTAATCGTTTCAAATCTCATTGATTCACGGTTTTCGAGAAGCTTTTATCAAGCAAGTGAATGTCGCGAATAGCCGCGAACATCCCATTAAACTAATGTAAGTATCTTTAAGAGCGACGCGTTCTCCTCTCGTACGGCTTCCGAGAAATCCGTGATTGCGAGAGTGAAAGCCTGCTATGCACACATGCAGTTGCAGCGTCGTGACTGCACCTGCCTGCACGCGGTTGCGTGAATATCGCATTTGCCGCGTTGTCGCCGACCCCTCCCACGCGGCAACGATTCGCGCCTCTCGGATTAGATCGATTTTAATTCAATCTCGTTTAATCTCGACAAAAAATCAATCTGAGAGCGAACAAAAAAAAAACAAGCCAATGTGTCATCGGCAGTCTCTCATCGCGTTTGATTGCAGTCGAATTTTCGATCGCCGAAAATGCGTTTTTTTTCTCTCTATACACCTAGAACGCGTGCGATAAAAGAATATCTTGCGGATTTTTTTTTTTTAAACGTACCTCGTGGATTGTCTAAAAAAAAAATATCTACATTATCCGTGTACTTTGCGTAGGAAAAAGTTTCGTTGATTTTTTTAACTTTATTTTTTGTAGCTTTTTTTTTTAATAATTTTCTTTCTCTTTATTTTTCTTCCTCTCACGTGCGCTATCTTTCTCGTTTTATTATTATTATTATTATTTTGGTTATTCCTATGCGTACAACGCCACGTGATAAGACGTGTGCGATATCACTCGACACCCATACACGTTTATACACACACGTACGATGTCGGGGATATGTTCTAAACGGTATCTGCAATATGTGGCTAACACGGAAGCTAATATGTGGTATGTGACGCACGCGGCCTTAAGGCCGGTTCAATGTTAAGGGTTGTAACTCAAGGTATTGTTATCGCGTTGAAAAAGGCTAAATGAAATATTGAATAAATATCAAGAGGAAAATAAATTTCTCACTTCGATTAAGATCAAGAAGAGAGCGCTGAACTTTAAATCGTCGTAATGACAAATTCACGAATGTCATACATGCGGTATCAAAGTAGCACTTTCAACGCGACAAAATGCCTTCACTCTTTAGATATCTGGCCTCGATAAGTGGTTGTCTCTTCCCATTAGAAATATACTCCGACGTTGATTAATTAACACGCCAAGTCGAAAGTCATTACCAAGTCATTACACAATTAATGCCGCGCGCGCACGCTCGATGTGGATATCCCGTCACCCGAGAGAAGAGAAAACACTCTGACACGATGACAATTTAAACTTACGCAATATATGAAGTCATAGCGTTCGGCTGACTTCGCGGTCGATCGTACGATTTTTGTTGGGTATATAATATCGCGGGTACATCTCGATCCAGCACACACGCCCGGTCGGTCGTTCCCTTTTCCCCAAAAAGAAATTATGTCGCACGCAGGTATTAACGGGAAATTTATCTTCGTCCTGGGACGGCAATAAATTTTTTTACCGCCGACGATAAAGCTCCTCGAGGATGCCCCTAATGCGATTTCTATTCGCGGCTGTACGATCCGGCCGGGAATTTCGCCGACACGTAATAAAAGGTTCTTTCGAGTTGAGAAAGATCCCGGAATGACAGCGGTGTTTTTACGCTCGATACAATGGACAGATGAAAGACTGAATTCGGGTATAAAAAGAGATAATGCGAGTCAAGAACAGATATCAGGCGCAAAACATTATTTTTAAATTCTTCTATTCTTATTTTGTCAGAATAATAAGTACGGAGGAATTTAAAAATAATTTTTTTTTTTGCACCAAATATCTCAATGCCTCGTTGCTTACTAAGCTCTTTTTATACCTGAATTTTTATTTATATCAGAGGCTTTTCGACGCGTCGAAGGTTAATCTCCCAAGTCGATTAATTGCTTCAGGAACTTATTTAAAGAGATAACGTCATGGCATATATATATATAGCTTCTTTTTTCACTTGATCATCATTATTTGCACAATCGATTCATTATCGCGTTAAATTGAATTTCTTCAACGTTTTCCATGGAATCGCGACTTCTGTAAAACATTTAGCTTGGAATATTCTTCGACGTTTTACGCGCCATAAAGTCCAGATCGCTCGTGCCGATCTCGGATAGTTTTCTCTTCCTCTTCCCTTTCCTCTCGTATAGCAGCAATCACAAGCGTCTGCCACGAAAGCCTTTCGCGAATCCACGCACATATACATATACATATGCGATATTTCCTGCGATTCTCTCGAAGGGATGATGACTTTCGACCAGCCGATCCCGTAACCAATAACGCCGTAGCTCCTCGATTTAGCTTCTTTAGAAAGTATTGCACCTGCGTGAATTGCGTATCTCAGTCTCGACTTTTTTTTAATCGGAGTTGATTCGTGCGTAAATCAATCCTGTTTTGTCTTCAAACTGGGTTGTGTGTAGGAAAAGGTGATGGCATTCGCTTTCGCGATCGAGAATGTCGCCGACCAGGAAATTCCTATAGGAATTTTCATAAAACGCACGTGAGGAAGTAAATGTAATTAACACGTAATATAAAATACATTTGCGTAGAATATTTCAGAGATGAAAAAAAAAAAAACTTAACTAAAATTACGCAACAAGAAGGAAAATCATTCTCGAGAAAAAGCGCGAATATTCACGGGTCAAATCGTCAACCGGATGCTTCTGTCGCCGATAAAACGATCGTTGGATGTAATATGCGCGATATCGTCTCGGTGATATATCCATTCGAATGGAAGATACGCGATTTCGACTCGTTATAACCGGGAAGGAAAATGCGGAAATGGACGACGAAGAGGGATTGACTGATGGAGAAGGACTGATGAAAGAGAGAGAATGTGTCTGTCTCTGTTCGTCTGTCTTCTCGTATCGGGATGGATTTATGCCGATTGTCGTTTGCGAGAAATCTCGTGTTTGTTTTCGATCGCGAGAGACGAAAATTCTCAGCGCGAAGAAACTAGAAATACCCGAAAGCACCATCGTCCCCCTTTAAGATGAAATGTATCGAGATAAAGAGGGAAACAAAAAAAAAAGAGAGAAATAAGTAAAGTATCAATTAATTTTCCTATCAATTTCAATTATGATAATTCGAGAAAAATAAGATTGTTATCGTGCGCGGTAGAGCACAAAAACAGCTTTTCAAAACTACTTCGATCGCCGAGGGTCGATAAATCTTGGAACAAAGTTCACGGGAACGATATTAAGAGAGGGAAAGGGGGACGATATTCGGGGTTATTTCCGCTCGTCGTTCTCAGCCGGCGACGAGCACAAACGGAAATCGGTATGAATTACTTTGGGCGAATTGGACCGGCGGTGTTTTTCGCGACGCGTAATTTGCTCCGGACCCGATAAATACGATCGAAGCTGGGTGGATGTAGGTCGAGAAAATAGCGCGAGCGAAAATTGCGCTTAGGTATGCGAGAAAACGCAAAATTAATTCGTATTATAAAGATGAATCGCGAAAACTGATAAATTTGTAATCCTTTTAACGCGCGTATCGATTGAATCTAATGTATGCAAAATACATTCGGAATTTATCCTCGCACATGTTAAATGTCTCTCGATTTAATATTTATAGCGGCGCTTCTCGCGATGCAGTTAATTTCCGAAAATCCATTATATAAACGTATACATATATACATATATAGTTATTAATAAAAGAACGATGTAACATTTTGGCGGTCGCGCGTCCGCGTTAGAATCGATATAGGAACGTAATGGCGTCGGGTTTTGCGGTGCCCGCTGTGCTAATCGCGTGCACATAACGAACACACAGCTCTGCTGCGGTACATCGAGTGTGACGCACTGGGGATTGCCATTAAATTTTTATCGATTTTAGCATGTGTAAGCCTTTTGTCGTGTCGCGCGACGCGTCATTTTATCGTTAAGCGTCAGCAGGGCGAGTCTCAACTGTTACAATCGAATTTAATATATATGTATAATGGAATAAAATGTAACATTTATGAGAGAGACGCATGTGGAAGCTAAATGCTACGATCGAATGCAATGTATTATATATATATTAGAGCATGCATCCAGCTCCGATCGACCCACGCGCATTTAATTACTCCCTACTTCATTGGAGGCGCGTTGGAATTTCACCGACCCCGTTGTTCAAAAGCATTCACTAACGGGTGACGCCGAAGTACGTATCGATGAGGGGAAGAAGTGGGAGGGGGGCGGGGGAGAGAGGGTTTGGCGTCGCTGGTTGATGTAACACACGCGAACGTCATTCGCACGGGACTGTATGGTCAATAGCACGTACGCGAGAAATTGCGCCGTCTGGTAAGGTCAGTGTAATTCTGGGGATCCTTCTGATTCTAGGGTGCTTACCATCAGCTCGGACCTGCCCACCGTTTTGCAAGTGCTGAACGAGGTCGTACCTAATTTGGAAGAGGTGAGTAAGCTTAAATTTTACCTTTATATTCGCCGTCTTCTTTTTATTAAGAAGAGTCACCGCGAGGAGGATCGGAAAAAGAATATATTTCTTTTCTTGGGATATTTTTCTCAGCCAAGTACTTTTTATATAAAAGTCTCTTATTGTATAATTGTGTACTTCTTTAAAGCTTTTGTAACTTGCCATAGCATTCAAACTGCTTTAACTTAAATAATCTGAAATAAAAAAAATGTTTAGATTTTTATACGTACAAGCTATATAAATATAGATACTGCATATTTAGTGCCAATCTTTAAAAAAAAAAAAAAAATTAATTAATATAAAGAGATTTTTATTAAAAATTTTCTTTCATCACGCAAGAAAATTTCTTTTCCGATTCTCGCTCTGTGGATTTTTTAAAAATATATGATATCATATTTTCGTAATTATAAAATATTTATTCTGAATTGATTATTCTGAAATTAATACGATGAATAATCTCGCGATGACAAAGGACGTAGCGGAACATTGTATTCAAATTTCCACGATTTATTGTAGACACGATTTCAGAACGGCTCCCGTCATGGCAGCGACGAGATCGACGTGCGCATGCTGGTGCATCAGAGTCAAGCGGGATGCATCATCGGCAAAGGGGGTCTGAAGATCAAGGAGCTCCGCGAGGTGAGTCACTTAATTACTCGATAATTAGTCACGACTCGTCAGACGACGTAACTCGTTTCTCTCGTCGGGCAGATGTTGCGCCACGATATTAATTTCTTTTGCGGGTTATTGCGTTCCGGTGACTTTGAGAAACGAAGAGACGGGCGTCGACAAGTGCAAATTAGAAACGGAAACGATCAACGAGCCGTCGAGGAACGCACCCTGATAATCCTCTTGCAAACTTGTAAGGTTCAACTCTTCCCGGATATTTGATTTATCAATTTACACGTAACATCAAAGTGATGACGCAACAGCTTGGAAGTAAAATCCAGGCTTATTCTCTCGTTGAGAGCTTTTATTTTATTAACAATTCAGGCGATCGCGCAAGTTTCCACCTCCGTGAACGCAAACACAGTGATCGGTTTATAAACTTTAAAGCGCATATTGACTTATTAACGAAGTGAAAGAGAGAGAGAGAGAGAGGAGAGCTCGAAACTTTGAGGCGAGTTTGTTTATAATATATTTATCGGGCTTAGGTTTAATTATATAGGCACAGGAGAATCTTACACATATATCGAGACGAAAATTTCTGCGACAATACTTTGAGACACTGTATAGATTGTCGAAAAGACAGACCTCCGTTCTGGAGGACGAAAGCAAGAAAGCGGCGTAGGTCGACGGGGCGACAATTAAGTTCCCTTTAATTAGCGATCTTTTCCCGACATCGTGACCTCGATTTTACATAACGAGCTCTATACTCTCGGGTTCTTCGCGTGGTCTTCCAGCGAAGGGCGAAGGCCTGCCTGGGTCGAGACTAGTTGGCCCGTTTTGAAATATGCAACGTGGCCAAGTGGCTTGTTACGTTTTCGCGTTGACGAGAGAGAAACAAAACCGAATGGAGCGACCGGGGCTTTTGTCTCGAATCGGTGAACGCTCGAACCCGCGTCAAAGTGGCTGTATGGACTTTGTGCAACCTCTTTCTCATCTCTGTGTGTCATCTCTCGTCTCTCTTTCCCGTCCTCTCCAAACGATTCCGTCCATCGTTGTTCTTTCGTCCAGCGTCCGACGAGAAACCTCGTCGTCGACGTTCGTGTATTCGAGAGATCGATATCTGAAAAACAGTCAATTTGATTGCGGTGGTTCCTGTCGCGGGAGATCGTTGTTATTTTGCAGATGGATCGAAATAATGATGAGACCGAAACGCATTATCGCACGTAGAGATGAGCAAAATTAATTTTTTTTTTTTACAAATTGTATTTTTCAAAATTTTAATTGGCTATGTTTTCCCGTCGCGATACGCGTGCTGGTTAATTAATCAATTATAAGGATCCGCGAGAATTTTTGTTTACCGCTATATTTCTCCTTCGTTGTTACGCTTGCGAAGCAAATTTAGGAAATTCCATATGGTGTTTGTGGATATACTCGCGTAGCACGGAATAATGTTGTTTACCAATTTGCTGAAAACTTATTCATAATTTCGTCACTCTTAACATCCTGCTTTCCCTGGTGAAGAGCAGTCGAGATAATTAGTCTATTAGAGTTTAGTTAACTGTGCGTCAGGTAATACATTTAAACGTATTGCTCGAGTGGAGGAGAAAAAGAGTCGGAACAATCGAGTTTTTCGGAACATTATCGGTGGCGCATATAAAACGATAAAAATTAATTATGAGCTTTTTAATCAATCTGAGGGAAATTTTTATTTTTATTTTACGCGTCTATGATATCCCACGCGTATCATACAAGCTTTAAACCAAAGAAAGATTCGTACTCTCGGATAAATCTTCGCCCTTTTCATTCAGCAACCAATAAATACACGATTAGCACGTAAAAAATACTTTCGTTGAATTATAAAATGATAAAAATAAATTATGAGCTTTAATCAATCAGAGAAATTTTTATTTTACGCGTCTACGATATCCCACGTGCATCATACAAGCTTTAAACCAAAGAAAGTCCTGTGCTGTCAGATAAATCTCCTTTTCGTTCAGCGACCAATAAATACATTATTCGTATTAAAGAAAAATACTTTCGTTGAATTTCATTATTTAAAAAAAATCATGCGTGTAGATGTGATAATGAGAGCAGCGAAATCAAGCGGGTCCTGTATCTCCATCCCCCTCGAAAGGACGGAAAGAGGTCGCGGAAGACGCGGCACCGCCACTCGACGACATCGCCGAATCGTTTTATTTCGATTCGCGGGGGCTGGTAGGGGTAACTTTATTGATTCCGAACGGGATTCCGGCGCCCTCTTTTTTTCTCTCTTTTCTTTATTTTTTTTTTTTTACTTTTTTATCATGTCATCGGGGATTCCGTCCCGCCGCCAGAAAACTCGCGGCTTTCCGCCGATCGAGCGAGGAGATGAAGATTCGAAATGGGATGTTTATTATTCCGCGCAAGTGCGACGCGCGCAATTGTCTCGCATTCTATTTTCTTCGTCCTCTCTTCCGTTCGAGCAGGGGGTGAAATGTTTTCCCCCTTCGTCGGCGGCCTTTGAAACAAGGAGAGACACGGGGGTTGTCAAAACGCGCGCGCAATTCCCAATCGGTTCGCAATTTTCTTGGCAAATTTGCCGACTGACCGTGATTCGCTCTATTTACCGCGCGAATTATTTCGCGGTCGACACGATTTCCACGGATAACGAGCGACGAGGATTAACGAACGATCGGGATTCATCGACTGTTTCGAAGCGCGCACGAGGTTATCATCCCTAATTAACCTTTTGAGTTACAGCTCGATAACAGGCTGATTAACCGCGTAGCAGTTCGATTGACAGTGTAGCTCTAGGAATATATTTACGCAACGCAATATTTACAGATTAAATATCACTTTGATTTGTGCGACTGAAATTTTTTCTCGAGTGCATTTCATTAAAAATTTGCTGCATTTTTGCACGACTCGGTTTTTCGTTTACATATGACACTCTCTGTTATCGCGGAATTTTTCCACGGTCCGCGTAAATAGAATGACTGATAGGTCTCGGATTCTCGTTGATAACGTCCGAAGAATGTGAAAAGAATAGGAGATGCGAAAGGGAGGAATATATGCATGGCATAAGTCATGGCGGTGACGTGAGACGCGATGCACTCGCGCATCCGAGTATGATGCGAACACGATGATGCACTTTGAATTTTCAAAGAGATCCGCGAAATACGTCGTAGTCGACAGAGCGAATCATCGATTTGATCCAATCCTTTATTTATGGCTCGAATTTTTTAAAATTGTAATTATTAAAACTGTGAGAATAATAAAATATTTAGAGCGTTATTTCTTTTATATAGAGATTTTGAGTCCATAAAATCTATACATTGTTGCAATTAAAAGATACTATATGAAAGAGAGAAACGTTGTATTGCAAAAAATTCAACAATACTTGTCGGTCGAAATAAATTTAAATTCAGGTGTGAAAATTATTTTTAAATTCCTCAATATTCGTTTTTTTTTTTTTTATATAACAAAACTAGTTAAATACAAAATAATTTTCTTGTGCTCAATATTTGTAGCTGGCTTACTAGTTCTTTTCACACTTAAATTTGCATTAACATACCAGAGCCTATTCGAGTTATTATTTTAGATCAATTCGGTTCGATTGAGCTGACCAAAAATATCGACAGCTCATCGATGCCTCGTTTCGATTCGAGTATCGACAAATTGGATCGCGTTACGCAACGCAAAATTAACACGCGCTTGCGTCACGAGAGATATACATATACGAAACGTGTTCCTCGTTTTCCGGAAAGAGACGGACACGCGTATAGAGAATATGGAGGCGAAATGCAGACGTTGCACCGTATTAAGCACGAGGAAGCCATATGTCCACTCGGTAGCTAATCATTAAGCGCTCACAATGTAGCTCATATCGTCGCGTGCTAACCACACGTGCGTGTCGTCCTGTGCGCGGAAGGCGCAGCCGACGTACATATATATGCCTATATATGTAATGTATGTGTGTGATCTACATATGTAACGCCGGGTGCTGGAAATTGTATAGCTGCGCAATTGCCGCGTCGTAACCCATCTTCGTCTCTCTCGTCGATGCGTCACTCGAATCGCATTAATTCAACGAGGAATCTCGCTGGCAAGGCTACATCGGTTCGAGAAAAACCGCTCGCAACAGGTAATGCATCGCTCGGGTTTCTCTTCGCGTAAAGTAAACGTTTTGCGTCTTTTACCATTTTTATTTGATTTTTTTTTATTTTTTTTGCAACTGTCGCCGATAGTCGCGAATCGCGAAGAAGGTTTCATGTTGTTAATTCAGGTAGCCGAGGCGAGTCTCGTGCATTTAACGGACGAACAGGAGAGGGCGATGTACCGAGTTAACGGACAGGGGCGAGTAAAAAAGAAAGCGAAGCTCGAAATTAATTCCGGGAAGGTACACCAGATAATTATGCACACGCGATGCCTTTATTATCCGCTGACGCCGTTTAGTCTACGGCGACGTGGTGTTGTACGAAGCCAACGGTGGGACGAGAGAGAGAGAGAAAAGAGAGCGAAATGTGTATGTGTGTGTGTTACATCGTAACTACGAAATTACGTGGCTTTTTTACGCACCTGATGTTTACACGACCCTTTTTATCTCGTAACAAACCCATTGTTTTTTACAACTCTATATATCAAAGAGCGAGGAAAACAAAAAATTAACTTTTATAAATACATACATAGATTAAATGGATTATATTTATATTTTATATTATGTACAATATATTTTATATATAATATATATATATATACGTATATAATCCATCTAATCTGATCTAATCTATATATTATACAGATATTAAATGGAAAATGATGACATGGTGCGCATCTTCCTCCCTTCATAACTGAAAAGCTGTCACGAATAAAATGGATTGATTAATGAATTCACACGCGTATTATATTTGCGGATCAATTTCCATCGTGCAATTATAGATAGATGTTATTATTGCAAACGAATGGGATCGATGTTCGACGTAGGCAAATATACACGACCGAAATAAATTTGCTAGGGTTTCTCTATAACAAATATATTCAGCGGGATACGC